GAATTCCCATCCTCTGGATGACGTTTTCCACATGATCTTATATATCAAATTTAACCACTTCGGTTGAGTTTATATCGCTTATATTCTATTTGAAAATTATTTTAATATAATGTTAGCTGATACAGATAAAACTAAGTGGGTATATGATTTATAATATAACTTAAATTACCAAATTGGATTGTCCTGAATGGATTTTCGTCGAGGAATGAATGTTCAACTCTTCTGCAGTATTTTTTAATGTAAAATTTTGCCACACCTGAGGGTATTTCCCCTGCTTTGATCATTGCAAGTTGCAAGAGTATAAATGTTCGAACGCGCCCGAACTTAGCCATTTACTTGTTTAATCCCAGTAATTTCAAAACTCTCTGCATTACATAATTTTAGACCGTTACCATAGCAGTAATGCAAATCCAAAGCCTCTAAAAAGACTACAACCACAATTTTACTGAGTAGTTTCGAATTTCACTGCTTTTGTCTACGTAGCAGCACGTAAAAACAAAAACAAATTTCAAAGAAATAATTTTCTTTGCGTTTATATCTTGTACACCCTTGGTTATCTGCAAAATCTTACGTCACTGCTGTTTTTGAGAAATTTATATACATTACGATATCTAACACCGCAACGAATTCGTATTTATAATTATATAATATGTTATACTTTTCATACCCAGAAAACAAGTGGCGACAATAAAATCTGGTGATGAAATATTTATAATATTAATATGAGATGAAATATTTTTTAATATATATATTTATGTTAAAAGACGTTATGGTGAATAATATTGAAATTAGTTAAAACTATAAACCACATGTCCACATGAATATCAATTCAATTTTCCGTCATCCAGCAGCGGCTTAATGTCTGCCAGAGTCTGCAAATCACGCTAAGATGACATCATGGCCAAAATTGATATTCGAGTGTGTGGTTTGTTGTTTCTTCCATCACGCAGCGACCAGTTTCACTCGCTGTCTCCAAAATTCGTATACATCTAACTCGAATTCGTAATTTGGTCATTTTTGTATTGATGAAACATATACATATGTACCTACAGACATTTCATATAAATATTGTGATCATAAGCGGCACTGGTCATTTGTGAATGTCGAAACCGAGAAATCGGCTTTATTCAATTAGTAAAAATAATAATTTGTTACAATCTCGCGCATACAACTAATGTAAAATCGTAGACAAGCGAGCAGGAAGCATAAAAAGTTGTAAATGCAATTAATAGAAGGAAATTGTAGGTGCAAAGTGACAGGAAATGTTTGTGTTTCGTCTTGAAAAACGAGCAATAATTCCTTTTTCGGTTTTCCCGAAAAAATTGCTTATGTCGTTGAATAACCACAGAGAAAGGAAAATTAATTAGAATTTCCTACGTTATTTATTCAATGTGAAAATATAGTCTATAATCATTATTTTTAGACAGTCATAATCATTTGCCTATAAAATTGAGTGCACTATTAATTAATATGGAATTGGTTTTCTTCGCCGATATCGGAGCACTATAGCATATAGCTGCCATACAAACTGGACGAATCAAGTCTTAACCTATACGAAAGCTAACGAGTTCTATTGCGTCAAATATTTATACATACATACATACACACATTTGTAAGAGATCGAATAAATAATTTAAAGTCAAATAACTTGAAGGAAGTAGGAAATAGTTATAGTCATTCACAATCAGCACCAACAACAACAACAGCGGCTTGAATAAATTTGAATTCAGCTTTTTGTAATTTTATCACGTATTTGAATTAATTTTTGTCACTTTTGGCTTACACAGGTTATATGTTACATATCTTATTTTTGTTGTTTTTATACCTTAAAATAAGAATAAAAACAAGTAAGGAAGGGCTAAGTTCGGATGTAGCCGAGCATTTTATACTCTCGCAAAGTCAAATGGTATACTCGTTTGAGATTTCTTTGTGGATTGACTGATATTTTCGGTAGAAGGTCATCTATAGGCACTGGGGTCCACATATTTAGTACTTAGGGGTTTGAACAGTTTTGGTTCGATTAAGACAATTTTTAGCCGCAACGTGGCATACTTTAATTGCATTATTCACGCAAAGTTTTACCCCGATATAATCATTGTCACCTGATTTGCATAGTGGAAAGTGAAAGAATCAGATGGAATTGAAAATGGTGTTACATGGGAAGTAAGCGTGGGTGTAGTCCGATTTCCGCACTATGACATAGAAACATGAAAAGAACGTTATGCACCGAATTTGGTTGAAATCGGTTGAGCAGATCTCAAGATATGGGTTTTCACCTAACAGTGGGCTGTGCCACGCCCACTGACTAATTTTGAACGCGGTTCCTATAAAGCCAATTTATACCATCTCAGAGATAAAATTTAATGTCTCTGGCGTGTTTAGTGCTTGATTTATCGCGCTTTTAGTAGTTTTTACCAGTACCGTTATATGGGGAGTGGGCGGAGTTGCCACCCGATTTCAACTTTTTTCACACCGTCAATAGAAGTGCTAAAAACATTTGCTTCTAGTGAATTTTGTTATTATAGCATTAGCGGTTTAGGAGATATGCACATTAAACCTATTAGAGGCGGGACCACGCCCACTTTTTAAAAAAAATTTTAACTGCAGATGCCCCTCCCTAATATGATCCTGTGTACCAAATAACAGTCTTGTATCTTATTGCGGAGCTTAGTTATGGCAAGTTATTTGTTTTTGATTAATGGCGTTTTGTGGGCGTGGCAGTGGTCCGATTACGCCCATCTGCAATACCAACCGTCTCACGGTACCAAGAAACATGTCTACCAAGTTTCATAAAGATATCTCAATTTTTACTCAAGTTAGAGCTTGCACGGACGGACGGACGGACGGACAGACAGTCACCCGGATTTCAACTCGTCTCTTCATCCTGATCATTTATATATATATAACCATATATCTAACTCGATTAGTTTTAGGTGATACAAACAACCGTTAGGTGAACAAAACTATTATACTCTGTAGCAACAGGTTGCGAGAGTATAATAAAAAAGTTCTGCATTTGCTTTTATGTATAAAAAATGTAAAATTTCAACTCACAAAAATTTTACATGTAGATACATATTTAAAGATACCGAATTTCCATTTAAGATTCATTCTTACAATAGACAGTTTAAAATGGACTTCAAATTTTCAAAAATGAACAGTTTTACTTTTCTGTCATATTCCGTAGAGTTTTCTCTTATTAACCCCCAAATATAGTCTCCAATACTGTATACTGGCCTTGGTAACCTCTCTCAAATTCTATGACATATTGTTGAAAGTGTGTGTTCTCTTTGTTCTTCCGAATAAGCTCTCATATTATCTTTAAATGTATATAAATAAGAATGTAACATGTGCATCTTTAGAGACATTCTATTCGGGAAAATATCACAATCCATAATATATTTTATTTGAAGACTTACAAAGATTTCATATTTTATTTTCAACCCTGAAAGCTTTGGAAAATTCTTCCAAATACTCGGCACTGCAAACTCTATTGCTCTTTCTTTACCTAAATACCAGTTTACAATAAAACGTAACACATTTTAAGCTAATTAATGTTGTTAAAGTAGTTAGTAATTATTATGAAAAAATAGCAAAAATAACTTACTATCCAGATTATATCTACAAGAATTACTTGACACATGTAGAACTCTTTTTTGTCCTGATTTTTAACAGATTTAAGTAAGCTTGATATTCTTCTTTTTACTTAAATCACAGTTTTTCTCCCTCATTTTCATAAATTCGCCGCAAACACTAGCTTCCGAGCTCTTCCTTCTCCAACATTATATGGGTGCGCAATCAAAATGGGTCAAACCCCTATGCTTGCTTAAGAAGTAAACCTTTTCGATTTATAAACATCGTTTCCCATATATATTGGCTTATATGTACTTGAAAAGTCTTTCATAGAGGTGTCTAACAACCAATTTTTCGGAATACCAAGCGAAAAAATATAACATTCATATTTTTGACCCACCCCAATGTACATATATTAGATATAGGTATACAGGTTTTTGCCTAGGGACACAAGGTCAATTTTTGTTTCTCTTTTTTTTTTTTGGTTTTTTAAAAACATTCTATTTTGAAACACATTATTTTCTGTTGCATTCAATCGCAAATTCAAAGTCTTAGAAAAAATTCAAACAATGGGGATTGCGTGCTCATATCTAGAAGTTATAAATAAAATATTATTATCAATGCGTATTTATGTTGATAATAAGTAAAGACCAAAACTTCTGCTTGTGCAAGAGAAAGCTTTGGGAAATCTTAGAGCTCAAACTAACAATTTCCAAACAGCTTGTAACATGTTACCAAATCTTTTTACAATAATATAATAAGGTAAATTAAAATCACAACATTCATCTCAAATTAAAAATCTTGAAGATCGTTTTACAGCGATATGATAATTGAAATAATGAATAAACTTTTTTTTACTATCATAAAATGTTAATGCAATACCGGCAAATACCCTTCACTTTTGTCGTTTGTGGTGTTACTCCCACAATTTTCTATGCATTTCATTTAATGATGTCTTGTAGATCAACCACAGATTGTTGAAATCAATACAAAATTTCAATCTAAGCAGCAAGAGCTCTCTTTCCCAGTGTTAACCGTTATATTATGACTTAAGCAACAATTCCAAACATATTTCGCAAGTATGATGCTTTACTTCTTTCACATAAGTACTCATATTTCACTTTTGATAGAAAGCATTTTCATCATACTTACATACACATTGTACATTGGTATCTGCATATACATGTATACATTGGTTAATAGGTGTGAGATTGCGGCGTTACCTTGACAAATAATCCATGCCAAATTTCGTGAAGATATCTCGTCAAATGAAAAAGTTTTCCATACAAGATGTTGATTTTGTTTGTTCAGTTTGTATGGCAGGTATATGCTATAGAGGTCCGATATAGGTGGTTCCGACAAATGAACAGTTGCTTGGGAAAAAATAACGTGTGCCAAATTTCAGATCGTTATCTCAAAAACTAAGGGACTAGGTTGCGTATATAGAGAAAGACAGACAAACGTGCATAGCTACATAAATCAATTCAGCTCGTGGGTCTCTGACATTTTCTTCTGGGTGTTACAAACTTCGTGGCAAACTTAATATAATATGGTATGACCAGTCTCAAATCTTACAGAAACATAATCTTACAAAAATTAGGCACAAGGTTTAATACATATTTTTAAAGTAATTACAAATTATAGCACAATTATTTAATATAAACTACATCTCAGGCTTCTTCGTGGATATTTGATTAAAATTTTGATTATTCGAGACTTATTACAATACGCTATACGTTAAATTTTTCAGAAATTTTCACATTTACGTATACGCATATGTATATAAATTTGTACATATGTATGGGCTAGTACTTAATCGATACATAAAATAGTATCTTTATAATACTTTTGGATGATTCTCCGATCACACCGGTTTCATTATAGAGTATATAACAATACCCCGCTGTATAATAATCATAAGAAAGTTCGTTCACCCTTGTTGTCCCGATTCGTTTTCACTTTCTCATTGTGTACTAAGCAGTTATATGTCTCCTTGCCTCTGACCTTCATATTAGACTTGCCGCTCTTTTACTACTCTCTTCTTGTAATACGTTGAAATCAAAAAGTAAAAATACAAAGACTTAGCCAGTACTTGCCATTTGTCTCACCTTAAAAAAGGTGAAAAAGAAATAAAATCGTGACTTATTACATCTGGTAACTAAAAGTCAATAGGGAAATTTTACCAAAAATTAAAAACAGATTTGCAGCTGTGTACTTTCCACTTATAGCAATAATAGGGAAAAAGAAAAATTATATGAAAGAAAACAAAATTTCGCTGACTTACTGAATGTCATCATCATGGTTATTCTTGGACTTGTTATCCATGCGCGAATCATAGAGTTCCAAAAAGGGCGGAGATATTTGACTCGCTTGACATTCATGTCGCTGTGCAAAATTTTTGTTAAGCCTTATATAAAAATTACTTACAAACTGTTGTATGTGGAACGAAATATATTTTTGATAAAAAAAACTTTTTCCGCCTCCTTGTTTCAAATCGCAATTAAACACGTTGTGCCGTCGAAAGATTTTTTCGCGAAATAAAGTTGACACGCAACCAATTTTCGACTACGAAAATTTGCTGTAATATTTTATGTTTTTTTTTTATTATTTTGGAACTAGCAACAAAAACTGCGTCAGTTTAGACTTCAATCTCAAAAGTGTTTCAAAACTTAACGGTTCTAATTTCGTACCCGAAAACAAAGTATAGTAGCTGTTGACTCATATCGAACGCGCACAATGACCGACGTCGATAAGTTGTCCTCGAAAATGAAATCGCGTTTGCATTTGCAAACGAAAACCATCGGCTCCGATCGCATACGAAAAGCCAAAGAAAATAATGAGGACATTGCGGTGTTGAGTATGTTTCTGCCGAATGCGTCGGCGCAGGCGGAGAACCGCAAATTCAATTGTGCTCTTGGCGATTTCTGTCGTCTCGGAGATCCACGATCCACTAAAGCAGGTAAATGAAATAATTGCCGTTATAATTAAGAAATAACCCTTTGTAATAAATCAGTTTAGCTCTAAGATATTATCTCCTTATTAATCTTAAATCTTGTCACAAACTATATATAAAAGAGGAGTTTTTTTGAACATAGATTTATTTCATTATTATAAATGTTTTCGATCGTTAACGGGTTATATAATAATACTTAAAATGGAAGCAAAAAACGTCTGAAATCATCAAATTAATTGAAATTACTACTACATCGAAATAACTCCGCCTACGATGAAGAAACATAGATAGTCATCGAAAGTAGCTAAAAAATGATGACTAACATATTCTTGCTCAGCGAGTGCCTATACATACAAACTTTTTGCCAAATGTATCTGTTAATGATGCGATCACTTCAAAATCTTTATTAAATAAAGCACAATATAAGTTTTCATAGATATGTGTATATATTTAAATTTGTATTTTTGGTGATTATCAGCTCACAAAAATTTTGTTTGTTTCAATCCCAATTCCGTTTTTTGTCTGTTTCTAAATATACAGTCTTACAAAAGTAGTATGTCACATTAATGAAATTGACAACTAACGAACTCAAACCAGAAGAGCTATATTTGCTCTTCAAAAATATACAGTATGTAACATAATTACGAGTATGCATCTATTCTAAGCGAATAATACTATTTCAATAAGTTGCAATTATATACTTCGACCAATTTTGTTACAGACACAGTATCATACACATAGGTATATCAGTCTTAAATAAATTACGAATTTTTCATTGAAGCTCATTCATAAGAAACACGATAATTTGCATTAACCTATATTCAGAAGCCGGTGAATTACGTCAAAGCGAGCTCATTTGCAGCCACCTTTGCAAGAATGCTTTGGCAAATTTGTTGACATTTTTATAGCAAATAAAAAGTAATGGCGTGTTGCCGTAAAATATGTGTTACATACATTAGCAGCAAGTTAGCTATCCATCCAATAACGAAGACTAATTCTGTATTAACCCAAAAACATTTGACTTAGTATACATATGAGTCCTTCATCCATTAGCTATGGTCTTACTCTGTGCGCAAAAACTAATAAATATTTTTGAGTGGAATTTATACTTGTGATTTTGGAAAACGAATTTTTGTAGAGAAGAAGAGCAAAATGGATGACTTTGGGCCAAAAGTTATCCTCTCGTTAGGCACAGTGACAAATTTGTTGAATGAACAATCGGGGTCGTATGTCATGGCATCATTCGTCTTGGGCTTATCTACACAGACGACACAGGCCAACAACGCAAGATAATGCGCTCACCAAAAGTTTCATCGCCGTCTTGTTGCAACTAAAGCTAGTCCACATCAACATCCTTCAATTCAGACACGAAAAGACTCTATAGCGTTCCCCGCGAGCGACGCGCTTGATGGTCGCTTGGCGTTAATTCTTGCACGACACTTGCTACTCCACAGCAGCAATAGCGTCACCGCTGAACCGAACCATTATTTTGGTAACAAAATTGGGCTATTTGCAATCGTTGTTTCGGAGTAAGTTCGTTCTGAAATGGCAAACCAAACTGAATATAAAGCAAGTAAAAGCTGTCAAAAAGACCAACTCCGAAAAAAATAGTGCCTCATTGAAAACCAAACATCTAAGAAAAAACACCCATTTATACATACGAGTATATGTATATACATATACTACAAGTATATGATCGAATATAACATGAAGTAAATAACTTTTTTTTGGTATATATTGCGTATATCAGCTCAGCTTTGTAGCTGGGTAAAGAAGCTTGCACTTTTTTCTACTGTTTCTAGAATTTCTGTTGGCTTTCGGTTATTCCGAATATGTATCACTAGTGCATTGTCACTGGCAAGCAGTCGTAGTACACAAGAACATGCTGACAAGTTAAAGCGAATTATTTGAATTTGCATGTCAAATCCAAATTACAATTATTATTATTAAAGTAACAATAGAGTAAAGGTACTCAATAGAATAAAGGTATCACATATTGCTACCATGCTTGCATGACTGTCTTACGGTACACACCAGCTGTAGAGAGGCACAAGTTCACCCAGTGTAATTTTAGCGAAAAAAATTGTATGACCCTAAATCGCATAAACTAAATTTATGTGCCAAATCTATCTGCTGCCACTTGACAAAACAAATAAACCAAAATGGTGACCTTCAAAGGCTGTCTATATTTCAGCAATTAGTGGGTGAGTGGTACGAGGCGTACCACATGGCGTCACTGAAGAGTATGCAGCAGAATTTGTTGCAAGGCGTTGCAGTCATTTAACTAAAATTAAACTAAAAATTTCCAACTTTTCCAATGCACTTGTGTTGAAATCGTCAATTTATTCGATAAATTTGTCTTTTATTTACTTTTAGGCACGAAGAAAATGGAATACAAGACACGCCAGTGGCATGAGAATTGCTTCTGTTGTTGTGTGTGCAAAATGGCCATTGGCACTAAGTCGTTCATCCCCAGAGAGCAGGAGATCTATTGCGCTGGGTGCTATGAAGAGAAGTTCGCTACCAGATGTATCAAATGCAACAAGGTGAGTTATTCAAATTATTGTCATTTCATTTTTATAGTAGTTCGTCGAAACACTTTCCGAGCCAATTTTGACAATATATCACAAATTATAAGACGCTAGAAATTGCCAGTTTGTTACCATTTTCCTCGATTGGTGACCTTATTAAGGTGTTAAGGAATTGAAATTGCTTAGTTGATCATAAACTCAAAATTAATGAACCGCAAATCAGTATCGGCACTTAAATTTTATCGATAACAATCGAATTGTAAAATAACTAACGTGTATTGCCTTCTCAATGGAAAATAGCTTTAAAAGGGCGCGCAATTGTAGCTGTGCCCATACGCTTTATGGAAGGATCTTGGTTCGCGAGCTTACAAAATTCAACTCCGACAAGCCGAACGACCATCAAGCGCACGTTTGGTAAGTGGGCCCAAAACGAATAGCTACTGATTCCAACTTGTACAAAACAATTTTGTGAAGTTCATCTTAAGTTCAATGGGTTCCTTAATAAACAAAATTGTCGCATTTGGAGTGATGATAACCCACAAGCCATTGCTGAGACGCCGTTACATCCTCAAAAAGTCAAGTTTGGTGTACTCTGAAGATGGCCATTATGTTAAAGTCACTGGGGAGCAGTAAAGAGCCGTGATTAATGACTTTTTCGTTGGAGGATGTTGATTATATAATATTATTACAAAACCACATTTCTGAAAAAACACCCTTTACTAGTGCTTAGAGGTTAAAAGCATAAAGCCGTGCTGAGCTCTTCTCTTAATTTATTACTCGCTTATTTTTACTGAATTACTATAACATTTAATGAAAACTTTGGATTTTCATAACTTAATTCTTCCAGGTAATCACTTCGGGCGGTGTAACCTACAAGAACGAGCCATGGCATCGCGAATGTTTCACCTGCACTCACTGCAACATTACGTTGGCCGGCCAACGCTTCACCAGCAGAGATGAGAAGCCCTACTGCGCCGAATGCTTCGGTGAATTGTTCGCCAAACGCTGCACAGCTTGCGAGAAACCTATTACCGGTAAGAATATCCATCATATATGTTTATCTACATTTAAAATATAAAAAAATATTTTTCTCTCTTCATAACACAGGTATTGGCGGCACTCGCTTTATCTCCTTCGAGGATCGTCATTGGCACCACGATTGCTTCGTGTGTGCCAGCTGCAAGACCAGTCTAGTCGGACGTGGCTTCATCACCGACGGCCCCGATATTATTTGCCCCGAGTGCGCCAAGCAAAGACTCATGTAAGGGCGCACTCGTCTATGCAATGAAAAAGTAATGGGCGTGACATGCTCTTATTACAAATAAAAAGATCGTAAAACTTATTAAACACAGAAAAAGTAATAAAGTAAAAATGTTAAACAAAAACTTGCTGAAAAGCAGATGTACTTTAAAAACGAAAGCATTGCAAATACAAAAATCAATACAGCAGCCTCGAAGCATGGAACTTCTTTCGAGCAATTCATATACAGCAAAAAAAAAAATATTTTAAAAAAATATGTAAAAATAAATCTTTTAAATTTTTAGTTCTTAGTTTACCTCGATTAACATGAAATTATAATTGTTATACTTCGTAGTTATAAAAAAGCTGAAATATACACTTTTCTAAAAATCTGACCAAAATATATTCGGCTTTAAAGATTTTACTTTTGAAGAAATTTGGTGTGATGAGTAATCGTATTTGAAAATAGACATACAAAAATTTGGAAAAAGCGAAAACATATGTATGTGTGCAGCTATAGAATTGAAGTTAGTTGCAATTATCACTGTAAAATTTTCACAAAGCACTTAACACCAAGCAATTGAAATCACCGTTATTTATGTGCTATGTAGAAAATTGCTTATTGCCACAGCTAAAGAGCTACAGAGCTAAGCCATTTTATTTTGTTATTATCTCTGAATAGGTATGTACATATGTATGTATGTATCTTTAATGGTAATAATTTACAAATGCTAAAGTTTGTCAAATGTCTTAAAAACTTATTTATTTACTTGGTTGCTTCGTAGATAAATTGAATTAAACCATACGCGTGCATGTATGTGTATATATCAACCATGGTTTTTTGTTATACAGTATAGTTTCTATTAAAAAGTTTAATAATTTTTAACACTGAACATTATTTATTACACTAATGCATAGTTATTAATTTAATATTGTTTAAAAACTTAATTTATGAAGAAAGCAAAAACGATTATTTCTATTTATTTTATTTCTTCATCGTTTTTTTTATAACGCTAACTAATTTAAACTAATTTAACTTAGAAGTGCTTATATATCTACCATATATAATATATTTTATTTTGAACTGTCATTCGTTGGAATGTACTTATTTACATTAAAAAGCTTATGAAGAATATGCACTACATACCCTATGTAAACAGGAGCATATGTGTTGACTCAAAAATCGTTATTGTTTACAAATGTTGAAAGTAAAAATACTGCGGAATCCATATTGATATAATATTAAAAAATTAAAATTAAATAAATAAACAATTAAAATGATTGTACTGATAAGACTTTTATTACTGCTCGTAAAACAAGAAAAAATTTAAACTTCAGTTGCACCGAAGCTAGAATACCCTTCACAAATAAAAAAGTTTCCAAAGAAACACTTGATTTTGATCGGTCGGTTTATTTGGCAACTATATTGTGTAGAGGTCCGATCTGAACAAGTTGTTCGCAGATTGTACCGTTGTCATGGACAGACGGACATGGCTAAATCAACTCTGCTCATCACACTGATCATTTATACATATACATATTTAATAAGATTTTCGACGTTTCCTACTGGGTGTTACGAACTTCGTGGCAAACTTAATATACCCTGGATCATCAGGAGAAAGGGCGGATCGTCACTTTTGTTTTTAATTTTTCATATAAACTCGACCGCAAAATGTTATACACTATTTAAATAAGAGCAAAATGTAGACGATGTCCATATTTTTTTTAGGTATTTTCATACTATTATGAATAATAATTTGTTTCAAAGATGTTTTGAAGTTGTTTTTAATTTAATTTAACTTTTAGACTTCCAAACTTATAGACTTCCAAAATATTTCAGCTAAAAAAATTTTAGTTTTTTGAAATACTACAATGCCTGATTCATTAACAACGAATGGCATGTGTAAATAAAGCCAAAAAAAAAGTAACCAAGGTCTAAGTTAGGATGGAACCGAACATTTTATACTCTTGTAACTTGCAAGAATCAAAGCCCGGGAAATTACTTCAGGTGCTTGCAAAACTTTATATTAAAAAGTTTTGCGAAAGAATTAAACATCCATTATTCGATGAAATCGTTAGTATATTACAATCAAATTTGGTATCTTCTTGATTTATATTGAATGTCATTATCTTATACTCAGTTTTATTGCTATATTTTAGTTCGTGTCAGCTAAAATTATATTAAAAACACCTTCAAATGAGATATACATACATATGTAGTGATATTAACTCGATCGAATAGACTAAATATAATATATTGAGTTTATGAGGAGTGAATCCAGATTTACTAGATTAAGGATTTGTGGTTTAGAGCAAGGTG